CGCTTTTACTTCACATAAACCGGCCTGGCGGGGACTGATGAGCAGGAAACTGTAGGCAGTAATTGGTTAGACAGAGTGTGATACCGTCTCTGTTTTGGGCATTTCAACTTCACAAGCAGATCTATCAACTCGTGATCCAACGATACACAAAAGTAAGAACAATTACGGTATTATCCTATCGTTCTAGTCCCAACTGAACTTCAACGTAGCGAAACTTATTGATCGGATTAAGTGCCTCGAAGACGTGGACCCCAGTGCAGTATTGTGGCACATCGATAGCCCCATTAGACAGACAGTTGACATCATTGACGTAGCAACAGGTGCATCCGTAGATGGTAATAAGCCACACTGCCCACCATCGCGCATGCGACCACGGTTGCACAAACCCGGTGGGTCGAGTAGTTGTTGCGTCGTTTGCAGTGAAACTATCTCAGGTACCGGCGTTCATTGCGTGCACAAATGGATAGCGTACCATCGTTAATATTTAGCCGAGAACACAATCGCCTGTTGAGAATTTTGCACCATGGACATAGTAGCTCTTACAGTCACCAAGAAACTGTCATGTGGCAGTAACATACGAGAGATGGAATCAAGTACTTTACTTTCAGCTACGCGCTGTACACCATCTCCGGATAGAAGGATAACATCCACCCCCTCAACTGCCTTCGCGTACAAGGGCAAGTGCTCTTAAATAGTTATTTACCGCGCAGATACTTCGGATGATTATAAAGCGGTACCCTGTTGCAGGTATCGATATGTGTCACATAGTACAGACAAAGAATTCGGTTTGCCTCTGCGCCAAAAAACTCATTTTCCGGCAAAGGAAATGAAACCAAGCCATGTCCGCGAAGCTGCAGCATATCTGCATCGCTGCAATTGGTCATGCTTGATTTGGTGTGTCTCTATACATTTGAGAATAAACTATTTATTTATTTATTTATGTCATAACATACGGGCATTTGCATTCCCCTCAGTGTAGATCTGGATTCCACTGCAAATAAAGCATTTGCAAGGAAGTGCACCGCCTTACAGTGAACGTTCAGGAGTTGCCTGCCAGACGGCAAATTGTGTTAGTGCCTTTAAACCCATGCATCAGATGATTACGACTGCGTAGCTTGTGAAATGTAACCCTGTGAGAACGCGAGCTGGGACGTTTTCACGGCTACCACTTGTTTCATTTCCGTGTGCTTCCCTCTTACCAACCCGATGCAACTACTCGGGTAACGGCCATGATTGGCACATTCGGCAAATGGATCGGACAGTGGCTCTGTAATCGTTTCAGGCATGGCCGGTTCGCAGTTTGACAGGGTTCCAATTCACTGGTTTTCCTTTCTTTTAACGCTTTCCTTTAGCTATAGTACTTTTACCAAACTCCTTAGTGATCAACTGTGTTGAAGTAACGAATGGGACGTGTCCAGCACATGGCGTGAGCACATTGTATGGGTCTGAACCATGACGTATAAGGACAGTTTATCTGTACACCTATGCTTCATGAAAGTTGGGTTATTATATGCAGTGATCAGCTTCGCATCATCGCATTTTGTTAAACAGCTAGCTATAGAGGAACGTGACCGATATTTGTGGCGCCCTTGCAATGAGATTTGTGGCCTATTGTGTAAACGGGTACAAGAAGCCTGTGGTGCTACGTACAGATAATCGATGAATGGTATTTGCAGGTTCATGGGACCACAGGCGCTACTATCGCAGTATCCCTTCAGCCACAGAACCTGTTGTTATAAATCAACTGTCCTCCCTTAATTGACTGTTTTGTCGTCCATTTCAATTAGTTTCTCAACCACAAGCGAATACTTCTAAATTCTTGCGGCTGCTCTTTCTCTATCCTTTCTCTCCGTTAACTAAACTAAGAAACCGTATAGCTACATATATGAGGGGTTGGTTTAATAATTTGTGGCATCGCTGCTCCATTTTGCTGCACGTCTGCATGTCCATAGCAGGGCTGGCTCCCCCACCCTACCTTCCCTTCAATTACAGCAATTATATCTAAATCAGCGCTCCTTCTCTTAGCTTAATACTTGACAGTCCATGTCCTTTAAGCTCTCAAGCAATAGCAGATTCTGCTACGTTATCAATCTGGTCCTTCCCACTGCTGTCCTCTATGTACTTTTGACGTACCTGTGGCACCTTAGAGCTCCAACTTTGAGTGGTGCACTTAAGCCTTAAGGCATCTCTGCCCAATTTTATTCCACAACTGCAAGTGAATAACCTCAAAGGTTCCCCTATTCAATCTTCCCTTTAGCTACAGTAATTTTTCCTGTAAACTAGCGCTCCACTTCTTGCTTGAATGCTGGGAAGCGCATGTCCCTTAATCTGTCAGCTATGAGCGGATTCTTCTACATAGTTTACTTCACTCATTCCCACTCTGTTATCTCTCCATCTAACTTGCCTTTGACACCGTAGAGCCCCATGTTCGTGTGGTTTACTTAATTATTTTGACACCGCTGACCCATTTTTACACCTATGTAATTTTATAGCATCGCTGGCCATACCACCTGTCTTCTTTACGGCTAGAGCATTTGTTCCTATAAATCCATGCCCTTATCCTTAACCGACTGCTTAACAGTCCATAGGCATTAATATTTCAACCACGTGTGGGATCTACTACACCTTAACTCTGGCTCTTAGTCCCTCTGTTCTCTCTGTCCACTTGACTTAGCTGTGACATCGCAGAGCGCTACCTTCGAGTGGTTCGTTTAGGCAATGTCGGTGGCGCTTCTCCATATGACTGCACAACTGTAAGTTCATGCCTTCACTGGCTTTACTAGTTTGTCTTCCCTTCAGCTACATAGATTAGCACTTTAACTCGCAGCAGTCTGAGATTCCCCTGTTTGCCTGTGCAAAATTCTAACTAAAATTCTTTCATTGTACACCTTGGCAACCGGTGTGGTTTGTTGAACTGATCGCTGAGTTCGAATGCTTGACTTGCTCATCGCCATTTCTGCTTGGCGCTCATTTCGGTTGCAACTCGCGACTGACCTGTGTGCTGTGCATGCTCCAATCCCTTAGTTAGAGCGTCCAAGGTGGCGTGCATTTTTAGCTAGATAACAGGGAATCTTTTACTGTATCAATAAAAGTTTCCCGGCAACTCAATCTGCCTTCTTGAATCGCTCTCTAAGCTCCCGGTACAGGCAACCCTCTAAAAACTCACCGCTCCTTCTCTTAAATACATTCTCGGCAGTCCCTTTTACTTAACAATGCAAAGCTTACTAAAGTTGCACTCAGATGACAGCAAAACAATTAGGTTGGCTGGATGGTTGAACAACCACCATATGGTGCCAGCAGGAGGGTTTGTATTAATCCCGGTCCAGCCAAAAGTACAGCAGCAGTGTTTCATGACGTGGTAAGTATTCGCCTGGCAAGAGTTCTCCCTATAAAATGCCACTGCGGGTCCGCTTAACTGCGAAACGACGTGGCGAGTTTGGCTATTCACCAGCGTAACAGTCACTACCTACTGCTAAGCACTGGCAATGAGCAAACTAACCGAACTTTGTGGGCATAACGTCCAATGAACATATACTCATCTTATCTTTCGACAGAGTATATTTAATCTTCTATCGGGCTTTAACGCACAAGAAATATTGGAAATCAACCTCCGGAACTATTCGAGTCCCCGTCCAGCGTTTCCATAACGTTGATTTTAACATTTTTCAGCGCTAGTTTTCTATCTGAATTCAGTGAACATGTTCATCATCTTAGCTACTCTCGTAATTGACAACCACGCACCATTGTTCGAACCAGGTATTTTTCGAACACTTATCTCCGTCGTTTGGTGTGCAAACGCTTATTTTGCTTCTCTGGCTCTGACAACCATTTGAGCACGCTTGTACCGACGTGTCTCGTTCATTCGAGAATGGACTGCTTATGTAGTATACTT